GTTGCTGAGCAGGCACAGAAAACCATCTCTGACCCGTTCATTAGTCAGCTGTCACAGGCTGACATGGAGGAGCTGAAGGCTCTGCAGAGGAAACTGACGGTCAGCATCCGTCTGGACAAAGGAGCAGAAGACCAGGACCCCGAGATCCACCTGGAGGGTCTGACCAGAGACGTGTTCACTGCTGAGTCTGCACTTAGGTCAGCAAACAGAGACGTGAATGTTTTTCAAGAATGTTCAGTGCAAGGTCCTAACTGCTTTTTCTATTTGATGACCATCAGGGACATCATCCGAAAGGTGGAGAGGGCGGAGAACTCAAAGAGACAGGCTTTGTTAGTGAGCAGCCTGGTAGAGTGGCAGTTTATAGGCCGCAGTGGTTCAATGGTGCCGTTTGACATTTACACCAACCTCAAACTGGAGGAGGCGCTAGAGAAGAAACAAAAGGTGACGATCAAGATCAATGATGAAATGTACACCGCTGATCCAGGACCTTCCGTTGGTTAATTTTTTCCCTTTACCTTTGTTAGATCACATTTATGAATTAATGTGCTTCTCGTTTTTCTTTTATATAAAATGTTATAAATAAATCAGTTATAATCAAGTGGAGTGAGTGGAAAGACACAACACATTTACACGTGAAAAAATAATTAATTGTTTAATTTTTCTTTTGAAAAAAACTGAACACGGGTCTCACAGACCCGAACACCATACAAGGGTTAAGTTTTTATAATAGTAATTTGCATATAATCCAGAATGTTATGAGGAGTGATCAGATGAACTGCATCGTCCTTCTTTGCCATGAAAATTAACTTAATCCCAAAAAAACCTTTGCACTGCATTTCATCGCTGTCATTCAAGGACCTGCTGAGATCATGTCAGTAATCGTCTTGTTAACTCAGGTGAGAATGTTGACGAGCACGAGGGAGATCATTATGTCAGGCTGATTGGGTTAGAATAGCAGACCTGACATGTTAAAAGGAGGGTGATGCTTGAAATCATTGTTCTTCCATTGTTAACCATGGTGACCTCCAAAGGAACGCGTGCAGCCATCACTGCGTTGCATAAAAATGGCTTCGCAGGCAAGAATATTGTGGCTACTAAGACTGCACCTAAATCAACAATTTATAGGATCATCAAGAACTTCAAGGAAAGAGGTTCAATTCTTGTTAAGAAGGCTTCAGGGCATCCAAGAAAGTCCAGCAAGCGCCAGGATCGTCTCCTAAAGAGGATTCAGCTGTGGGATCAGAGTGCCACCGGTGCAGAGCTTGCTCAGGAATGGCAGCAGGCAGGTGTGAGCACATCTGCACGCACAGTGAGGCGAAGACTTTTGGAAGATGGCCTGGTGTCAAGAAGGGCAGCAAAGAAGCCACTTCTCTCCAAAAAACCCATCAGGGACAAATTGATCTTCTGCAGAAAGTATGGTGAGTGGGCTGCTGAGGACTGGGGCAAAGTCATTGCTGATTGTTTGGGGCATCTAGAAAAAGACTTGTCTGGAGAAGAAAAGGTGAGCGCTACCATCAGTCCTGTGTCATGCCAACAGTAAAGCATCCTGAGACCATTCATGTGTGGGGTTGCTTCTCATCCAAGGCAGTGGGCTCACTCACAATTTTGCCCAAAAACACAGCCATGAATAAAGAACGGTACCAAAACACCCTCCAACAGCAACTTCTTCCAACAATCCAACAACAGTTTGGTGAAGAACATTGCATTTTCCACCACGATGGAGCACTGTGCCATAAGGCAAAGGTGATAACAAAGTGGCTCGGGGACCAAAACGTTGACATTTTGGGTCCATGGCCTGGAAACTCCCCAGATCTTGATCCCATTGAGAACTTGTGGTCAATCCTCAAGAGGCGGGTGGACAAACAAAAACACACTAATTCTGACAAACTCCATGAAGTGATTATGACAGAATGGGTTACTGTCTGTCAGGATTTGGCCCAGAAGTTGATTGAGAGCATGCCCAGTCGAATTGCAGAGGTCCTGAAAAAGAAGGGCCAACACTGCAAATACTGACTCTTTGCATAAATGTCATGTAACTGTCGATAAAAGCCTTTGAAACATATGAAGTATGTGAAAACTATTAGTGTAGCACAACATTATTTAAACTGAGCCCTTCCAATGATTTTTACAGATGACAGCGCTCTGCCTTCTTGCTGGGAGGACATGAAAGGAGACCTTGTGAAGTTGTTTGCTCTGACTCCAGGAGCTCAGGAATACAACGATGTGGAGCAGGAACTGACAAAGGCCGGACTTTATCTTAACATCATCAGCGTATGTTCAGTCACAAATACACAGAGCAGACTGTATGACTGTGACGGTTAAAAATAATTGGCTAGTAAAATTAAAGTTCTAAATTTCAACTTTAAATTGAGTTTGTTTCTCATAGACTGTTTATGAAATATGTGTGAAATTAAATTTTTTATACATCCCACAGAAACAAATACCTGATAATTTATGTCAGTGTAGGTTTTCATGCAGGTCATGCTTGAGATGAAGTCAACTGGACTTTTTAGGCGCTTAAAGATTTTTCACCTGGCATCTAAAAAAAAACATCCTAGAATTTCACTTAACAAATTGGAGCACAGACTTCTTTGATGGTCTCTTAGTGTTAACCACAGAGTAAGCTCCAAAAGCCATCAATAACATGGAAGTGGTATTTCTTAAATACACTTAAATAGATTAGAATATAAAAAATGAGCCCCTGTACAGTTGTTATGACTATATTTAGGACAGTGCAATTTTTTTTTTAAATTGTGCACTATATTTTCTGCTGTTTATTATTGCTGTGCAATATATTCATTTTCCTAATATTTTGTAAAAACTTCCCCTATATTCTTACTTTTTTTTTTTATACCTTACAGATTTAGATTTGTTTATTATTTATATTGTACAGTTCGATGGTGAGTAAATGCACCAAAATGTTATTCTGATGTGCACTAACTGGTGTATGTTCTGAATGACAATGAAGTAGATATTCTTGGAATTCTCTTCTATATTCTTATGAAAGAGACCAAAACCTTCTGCATCAGGCTGTAAACATGTTTATTTCTGCTGTAGTCTGTAGGACTGACTCACTACTGGAGGCAGCTTCAGCCATCCTCTTGGGGAGACCTGTGTTGTTTCAAAGTTCATGTACAGAGACAGCCACCCCAGTGTTTTCATGACAAGAACAGAAATATTATTAGAGAAAAGTAACAGACATAAGAAGGGGAAGAATTGTGAGAATTAATTAATGTTATGTTTGGACTCTTTTGGCAGATTGAACGTGTGCAAAATCCAGCACTGTGGCAGAACTACCAGATCCTGAAGAAACAAATGGAGACAAAGAATAAACACACAAACAACGAACGTCGTCTGTTTCACGGCACCACTGACACCTCCATCCATCTGATCAACAGCAAAGGCTTCAACCGCAGCTACGCAGGAAAAAATGGTAACCAAACTGACACACACAGAGTTCCAGTTAGAATATATTAAAATTAGTGCTGGTTCACATTAATTGCTAATCAAGCAGCATAATCAATGAAACCCTCCGCTTATCCCCCCTAAATAATGTGAACTGTTAAATATATTTTCTGGGGATTTATGATTTTTCATTAGAGGGGCATTTTAAGTGCACCTTGACTGATATATCAGCACAGCTGTGTGTGTATCAGCAGAGCTGACATATTGGCTGATATGAGCTATTTGCCAGTATATTTAAAACCAAAACAATGAAAATGTACAAATTTTGTCCACTAGAGGGCACTCTGCAACTTCCTTGTTGGCAACACGTTTGGACTTCAAACGACAACGAGCCTGTCCGATCAGACCGGGGCAGAACATACAAGAGTAATCCCAGACTTGCTGTCACAATAAAACAAAATTAGTTTGAACCCATATTGTGACATTATCTTACTGTAGACTCATAAGTAAAAAAAAACAAAACAAAACATGACAAATCTGTTGGTTTTTTTGTCTGTAAAATGATTATTTTATCAAAACTTAACTCAAATGTTTTTGAGCCATAAATTCAGCATTGACAGAGTAAGTTTTTTTTATTTTTTTATTGTTCTTTTCCTAATTGAATATAGCACTTGTTTTTACACACACACTCACTATTTTAACTATTTTAGTGAGGACATTCATTGACATAACGCTTTCCCTAGCTGCTTAATGAATGCCTAACCCTAACCAGAACCTAATTGTAACCCTGACACTAAAACCAAATTTTGAGCCTCAAAAATGCTTCAAACTTTTGAGGACCTGTGTGTGTGTGTGTGTGTGTGTGTCCTCACAAGTGACTGTTGGTCGTCACAAGTACAGAAAGTACACAAACAGTAGTGGTTTTTGACACGGGCAGTTGCCCGGGGCGGCATCGTGGTGGGGGGTGACATCACGGGTATCGGCAGAAAAAAAAAAAAATTGCTCGTACTCATGCTGCCCCGACATCAGCCAGCGCATATTGGGAATGTCGGAGGCACCGATCGGTTTTCTATTGCCCATTTGCTGAGAGTAAGGGCGCCCTCTGTTTGCAAGGTGCGCCTGCTGCTTGCGGCGCAGGGAGGAGAGGGCGGGGCGGCGGGGAGCAGCATCTAATAACCAACTCACAAAATAAAACAAAATAAAAACAAACCAACAAACACGAAAACAGCAGACATCATGATACAGACTTATAATTTGCACTGATGTTTTTTTTTTTTTTCTTGATTTTAATTCTAAAATCAAGTGAGCGCGAGAGCCCTCGGTGCACGTGCTCGCTGCTGAAGTCAAAGTAAACTTTATTGTCATCTCCACTACAGACAGTCCAGCATATAGAGACGAGACGACGAGGCTCCAGTTACAGCAGTGCAAGTAAACAAATAAATATAAGAAGAGTAAGAAAATAAATCTACACTTTAGGACTCGGGGTAAAGGATCAATAACAATTTAAAATTTATAATTTACAGTTTGATGATTTAAAGTCTCACACACAACCCATCGAAAGGGGAGGGGCCTGCTGCTTCCAAATAGAGCACATTTCATTCATAATGATGTAAATCCAAGCCCATCATGTATTCATGATTTGAATCCTGGGTTGTGTGAAATCCCAGAAATAAACCTTAGACAAAGTGAATCTGTGAACTAAGGTGTAGGTCTGTTAGGTTATGTTGTGGTGATCCTCGGTTGGGGGATTTGTGTTCATACTGGAGTGCAAAATTAAAACCAATGGAAGATGGACAAGAAAAGTTCAAAGCCATCAGGTGCTCAGTTTAGAAAAAAGAGAAAAGAAGAGAAACGAGCAAAAGATGCAGGTAAGCAGATGTGTGATTGGATGATGGCAGCTCATCCTGAACCAATCAGAGTCAGGAAATAATGTGCGTTACAGTTGCTCCAAGAAGAAATGGTAAAAATAGCAACAGTAACAGACTAAACTCCAAACAATACATTATGTTACAGATTTTAATATTAATTAGTCATTGTCAATTTGTCCTGTTCTCATTGTATGACAAATTATGATGGCTGTTTGGTAGCTGTTTGCATCAATGCGACACACACACATTGAAGAGAGAGAGAGTGTGTGTGTGTGTGTGTGTGTGTGTGTGTGTGTGTGTGTGTGTGTGTGTGTGTGTGTGTGTGTGTGTGTGTGTGTTTCTCTGGTGAAATTCAGTATGGTTCCGACAACAGTTTTATGTTAATGTACAATCCTTAATGTTTTGTGTATGGGGGGTGTGTGTGTGTGGGGGGCACAGAGGTGTTCGCCCAGGGTGCCAAACAGGCTAGGACTGCCACTGCTCACAAAGATGTCTAAACAGGAACACACACACAGGTCTGACTTGGCTAAATTCCAAGTCAAAAAAGAGGTTTCTCACACAACTTCACTAATTCCCAGGTGCATGTCAGAATGCACCTGTCAGACAGAAAAGTTGTATTCATCCTGGAGTTTGACTTCAAAATCCAGTTCAGTCAGTAAAGTGGGTTTGTGTCAAAAAATTAGTTTGTAAATGAAGTTACAATGGTACCAGAGAGCACAGTGGAGGAGCATCAGTCAGATTTCACTTAAAATTGCCCATCCACTTAACCACAGCATTCACTTTGTTTGGTCACAGGTGCGATGTACGGCAACGGCTCTTACTTTGCTGTGGACCCAAGCTATTCAGCAGGAAACTACGCCACGCCCGACACCAATGGACACAAGCGCATGTACCAGGCCAGAGTTCTAGTTGGAGACTACGCCCAAGGACGAAAAGGCATGATCACCCCTCCTCCCAAATCTGGGAGTGCCTCAGACCTGTATGACAGCGTCACAAATAACACTGCTAAACCAACCATGTTTGTGGTCTTCAATGATATCCAGGCCTACCCAGAATACCTAATTACATTTACATGAAGTGCCATACTCCCACTGTGCAACACGTCTCAGGAAAAAAAAAAGACCTGTAATATATGTTGAGTTCAAATTCAGTCAGCAAAAAACATTTCAAATAATATAAAAAGACTCTTTGAAAAGGCTTTTGTTATTCTAGTTTATCCTCTGTCAGATTTCACATTGTATTTTAAATCTGTTCAAAGGGTTTTTAAAGAAACATTAAAGTAGCACTCCAACAAATTCCAATGATTCTCTTGTCAATTATTTTTTACGCCTAAAGGACTGTACTAGTGTTGTGTATAGCGATATGTTGATAATGTTGTATTTGATTTGATATCAAGCAATGAATGGAATTAATGATTTTAAATTTGACTGGATATATTCCTGTAGTAGTGACTTGTGGTTTTGCTTTGGTCATGAAAGGCCATTCGCCTTTATAGAGCTAATGGTATTTGTGTTTCAAGGCCTTCTGACCTGGATGGTTGAGAACCTGCAGAGATGATGGTATTCATGCTAAAGATTCTCTAATTTTCCTTCAGCTCTACTGTGATGTTACCATTCAAATTTTTTTCTAAATTATGGAAACTAGTTGGTGACATTTGTGTCATATTTTCATGTCCCCCAGACTTAAAATTGAAAAAATGCCTACTACCCACAGTTTAAATTTTTGGATTCCAGCACAAGTCTGAATATTCAGTCTTACAATTATAACAACAAAGACTTCCCTGGATCTGAATTGGACACTCAGAAGGTCAAAGTTGGCCCATGTCACATAACATCATTCGTTCATTCATTACAACATTCATGTAGAGCTTTCCATAACTTTGAGTAATCCTGAAAACAAACAAGTAGACTAATCCAATTAAATTTTTTATTTGAATAATGCTTCAGTCTGCAGGTTCATGACATCATCCAACTCTGGACGACTCAAACTGAACACACTGACCATCACTATTTTGGTATTTAGAAACCAGATGTCACGAGTAAGTTGCTGACTCACTGCTTGACTCATGGCAGTAACTCGTCAGTCATAAGATAGGCCTGCCCTAAAGTATACTCTGATTTTTCTTTCTTTGTTTTTTTAACTTGGAACTTTGACTTTAAAAACATAATATCATGAATTATTAAACAAGACCATAAACTCAGCAAAGTGTGAGTGAGCAGTAGGCTCACTTCCTCACAGGATGCTGCTGTTATTGTCCCTCAGTTCTCTTCATTGAATTTCTTTTCTGTCTCTCTGCCTTATCTTTGTGTCTCTCCACTATCTGCATGCGTTTGTTGTGGTCTGTGGTTGTTGGTGGGACTCATCTTGGGTTTTTGCCTCTGGCCTGACACACCTGTGGCAATCACAAAGTTGTCTCCGATGATCTCATTACCAGTCACTACTGAAGATGGTGTTTCTTTCCTGGATTGTTGAACTACACAGTTTCTGCCTCCTGCTCTGTGCTGCTCCTGTTTCTCCTGGAAACACATTTACTGTGTGTTTCTTCTGTGCAGTTTGCTGGATTTCCTTTCCGAGGTGTAGTGAGCAGAGTGTTGCAATGGATTTTTGGATGTGGGGGTTCCCTTTCTCCCTGGACCACTATTGAAGCACTATTCCTCTCTTCGCCTTGTGTTTTTGCATGAATAACTTTAAATAAATATGTGCGTAAATAAGCGCAATGAATTTTGACTTTCTGAGTTCTGTGTTTGAGTCCAGTTTGCCCATCAGCTGTGACATTGTTATGATCAAACTTCTCTTTACAACCACATGAGTCGCCCCCTGCTGGACAGAAAGAAGAATCAGAATCAGAAAGGGTTTTATTGCCAAATGTTGAGTAGGTTTACAACATTAGGAAATTGCTGCGGTGCTTAGTGCAAACATGCTGTCATATAACGCTTAAATAAGCATAAAAATTAAAATTAAAAGTGCTAAATAGATAGATATATACATGATATACAGTGGGGCAAAAAAGTATTTAGTCAACCA